CCTTCCAGCCCTAATGTCTATGAAATCTATGAAAACTTCTCCCCAAAATGTTTTATAACACAGAAAGAATTCCTGGAAGCTTTTTTCCATAAAACTAACCAGAACAGAAAGCATCCCCTACTTGCTTGGTTTTTGTTCTTTTGGGGGGTTTTTTGCTTGTTCATTTGGGTTTAATTTTTTGTTTTATCTTGTTTAATATTAGAAATTCAGACCTCTTCCATCTTAGGATTCCTCTGGATGACTGGAGAGTTAATGACATAATGGTTCCAAGGAAGTTAAATCTGAGTAATTGCAGAAGGATTTTTAAAATTGGTTTGTTTTGGTTTTTGGCAACATTTCTTTATCTCAAATACCTGAAAAGCATTTGGGAGAACAATATTCTTTGTGAAAGCTCCAAACCCCATTTTCTTTCCATTAAACTGCTGCCAACAATTTGGTCATGTTTGGTCAAACAAAAACAATATAACAAATAACAGCAAGACTAAAACTCAGAGCCACAGTCAGTATGCGCATCCCAGAGGAGCTCCAAAGGAAGGTAATATTTGATTCTTCAGTTCCTGTTTAAGGTTTCACTTTTTAAACTAGGTACAAGTTAGAGATATTGAAAAGACACTGCAGCAGGCTGCACTACTGGGTAGTCAACATAGCGGAAAGTACAGCAATAATTATAATAAACCCGTATGAGCTAGACAGGCAGGGCAGGGTTACCTTTATTTGAGATGGACGGGAAAAGATATCCTGAAACCATGTGCTGACCAAGCAAATCAAAGGTATAAGCCTTTCCATGGACATATGCCATTGGTCCAGAGCAAACCGGAATGTCTACCATGCCAGCACCAGCGAGCACAGAGCAGACTCTGCTAAATACTTTAGCTTCCACATGAAAAGACATCTCTCTCAGCTATGCCGAGCAACAGGAAATGTGGTTGTCTGAACTGAAACCATTTTGGACAAATGTAGACTTACCCCAGCCATTTCTTTGCTTAGTATTTCTCTGGCCCTCTCCTCATTCATGCTCAGTTGAAGCCAAATCGGGCATGTTTTGATGAGCTTATCAAGTATGCTGATGCCTGGCAGGGGAAAGCAGTTCCTCAGAGCGACAGGTGGACCTAGCTGTGTCTCGTCGTTATCTTCGCCAGTATCTGTGACAGGACTGAATCAACACAGAGTCCCTATTAAGCCGAAGTGCAGGGTGACAGTAGCATAAATATGTGCATGTTCACATATGCATGCAGACACAAAGCACTATGCAACCAGCACCACACGAGAGATTAATATTAATACAGCAGCCCTGAACTAAGGCAGTTGTACCAACACACAGTAACAACCCACACCCCAAAGACAAGAATTCACCTTCTGGTTTGAAACCCCACAAACACTGGTGAGGCATTCTTTCCTGAAGTTGGGTGAGTTGTGGACATGCCCTTGCCCCAGCCGTTGGTGAGGATATCTGAAGAACTGGGCTGAGGAAGGCTGACAGACATCCGGTGGAAAGCTAGTACTTCCACTGCCCTGTACTTTACCTCTTTGTGGATAGATGCCTGCCAGCTGTAAGGCCCTGATTCTTCAGCTTACATATATGAATAATTCTTATTGATGCTAAAGGGAGGTATTTGTTCAGTGCAGTGGGAGGATCAGGGCCCCTGGGTGATCAAACCAGCGTTCAGGAATTTCAGATGCACTTCATTATATTGTGTGCCAAAGCCTGCAATGAGACTCATGAGCTCACACAGTCAGAATGCCTTAGGCTCAGCTGGTCTGCATGTCACTTCCAGGCCTTCTTGCATTGTTCAGTAGCTTTCAAGATTAATCCAAATGTCCCAGTACAGGCATTTACTGTGGAACCCTTCCTGTCAACCCAAGGCCTTCCAAAAGAACGTGCAAATATTGGAGACTTGAAGAGTTTCAGCAGGGCTGCATTTGATCAGCAGCCTCATTTCCGTACCTATCTGGGGGCTCTTTAGATACTCTGCATGAGAAGGTAAGAAGACATTTCACAGTTTAAAAATAATATTGATATTTCCCCCCTTCTATAATTACATTCTTCTGCAGATGCTGGGAGCAGGTGGGAAGATGATTGCAAAGCCTGACATTTGAATCCTGCCCCTACCTACATCAGAGACTGAGTTCAACAAGCACAGGAGTGCAGGTGGAGTTGTGGTTTGTTAATATGGAACAGAGAAGTCCCACACCCGTGGGTACAAGTAGAGTGAGAAATCATGCAAAAAAGAAACATGGTGCATGTAGGAGCTCAGAGTTTCTTGAGTATGTCCAGTGCATGCAAGAACAGAGGCATCAGTTTATTCATTAATAACTTTAGACTAATCCTCTATCTCCAATAAATAAGGCTGCCTCTAATTCAGGTAGGAATCCAAAGGTTACGAGTATAACACATCTCCAGGGATTCTGGTTTTCTCTGCTTAAAAACTGCAAATTCTCTGATTCAAAAAAACCTAAAACCCGTGATTAAAATGAAACACGTGTGTGTGTGTGTGTGTGTGTGTGTGTGTGTCAACTGAACATAATATTTTCTTGATATATTTACTATTTTAAAGCAGTCTGGAAGCCTACCAGTGCTCCTATCACTATAATAAAATAAATTCTAAATACCTATACATTTATTTGGGGTTTTTTATCATGGAAAATCAGAGCTCCCCCTTCCCCCATCACCAGGACGCAGGTCCAGGCCCCTTACTCCCCACCCACAGCCCCCTGCCCCCTAGCCATGGGGCCCCCAGCTGCCAGGGCTAAATGGCCGGGGACCCAGGTCTGCAGCCCCCTGCCCTCTGCGGTAGCACCCAAGCCCTGGCTGCCACCTGCAGGAGGCAGAGGCTGCTGCAACAGAGTGGAGCCTGGCTCCCCCTCTCCTGGGGGTGACACGACTGGGGTGGGGGGCAGGCTCAGGCTCCCTGCCCTACCACCCCCACCACTCCTGGGGCCACTGAAGCCCAGTAGGCAGGCCCCACCATGGCAGGGCAGAGCAGGTCAGGGCTGAGCAGGAAAAATCCTTGCTGCTGCAAGCCCTGTGCTGCCATGGCGACACACCCCCTGCCCATCCAGCAGCAGCAAGGGGCACAACTCCGTGCTGCCACCCCCACTGCTGCCTGGCATGCAAGGGATGCCTTACTGGGTGGCATGGGGCTCGCAGCAGCAAGGATCTTCCATGCCTGGCTTAGCTCTGCCCTGCCATGCCATCTCCTACCCACTGGGCCACAGAGACCCCAGGGGGAGGGCAGCATGGCAGGGAGCCCCAGTCTGCAGTGGGCAGCCTGCACCCACCCCGTCCCTGCCCTATGCACATATCTGAGCGGCATGTGCCCCCCATGCTCCCCTAAAGAGTATACGCAGTGGCAGGGATCCTGCCTCATCTCCCCTCACCCCGCAGACAAGCTGCCTGCGGCTCCATTCCACTTCTTGCACTGGCCCTGCAGCAGTGTATTCCAGCCTCGGGCACCAAGCCCCACGCACCACCCGGGTTGGGCAGCAGCCCCAAACCCAGCCCTGCCCAACTCCCTCTCTCCCTATGGAGCTTCAATACCCCCTCCCCCCACCAGACTTACCTGCAGGAGCTGCTCTCCAGGCTGCCTGGCAGCCATGTGCCTGTGTGAGAACGCACATGCTCATGGCGCCCCCTGCCTGACCACCCTCCTCCTGCTCCTCCCAGCCCCTGGCAGGCTGGAACTCTGTCATCCTGCAGAGAGCAATTTGCAAAAGTGGAAAATCCACTTGTTTCTCTGTTAAAATGAAAAATCTGCATTTTTCTTACTTAAAAGGGAAAATCTGCGGGGGGGTTTCCATAGGAAACAAAAAACCCGGATCTCTGCTCATCTCTCTAAGAGAACAACCCTTGGGAAGCCAAGTGTCCTCAAAGACAGAGTTGACTACTGGATACAATGTGATCAAGCCAATGAATCAATAAATAAAAAGGTATTTAAAACATAAGCTGTAGCACATATGCATCCATGTATGGAGTGAAAAGGATAAGTAAAAGAAAAGCAGTAGCCCAGCATCAAGTTAATAAATTATAATAACAAACGTCTTGACAAACTAACACCAATGAACTGGCAAACTAACAAAGCCCCAGTGCATATGGTAAAATGCAGCAGCTCAGGTAGCAATTAGGGATACAAGAGCAATGTTCAAGACAAGCAAAGATTTTAACATCATGGCTATTATTAACACAGTACCCCCACACGTCAGAAAATGCAGCCACAGCCCAAGCATAGGTTTGCAGGTTAGGAACAAGGGAGATCAGATTAACAAGCAGCATGAACGGCTATGTGACATTTCTGTTCCTTTGGATGGAGCTCTCACAATGTAGTGAAATCCTGTGTCACCACAAGGTTGTCCCTTAAGCCAAAACATTATCTGAGGATGCATTCCTACCTGTGTGGACACAAGATGTTGATCCCTAGCTGTAGCCCCAGTCCAGCTACATGTCTTTTTACGTCAGGTTTGTTGGGGCAGTTAAATGGATATGGCTTTCTTTTTCCTTGACTTGGTGTCACTTCCTTTTTTGTGGTAGGTAAGAGTTTTGTTTGTTTGTTTGTTTAGAGACACAGCTGTTAAAATCTGGAGCACATTTTTAAACTAGGTCGGATTTCAGACCTAAATTGAGACTGTCTTTTCTCTAATTCAATGCAGTACACTTGGCCCAGAATTTAGGTTTTGTTAAAGTAATTTTTAAAAAGCCTGAAACCAATAGTGAGCTTTCATGTTCTTTTGCAACATCCACATCAGCACGCGTGCACATGCACACACACACACAACACACACACACACACAGTGTTAAACTATGTATAATATATCTATTTCTCCTAAAGCACCGCACTAGTGTATGATAATCTGATATTTATTGCTCCATTTTCACTTTCCAAGTGGAGAGAAGTCCAACAAACAGCAACTAGCAAAGCAGACTTCTATTTTTTTTTCAAAATGAAGTGTGACAATTTGTCACATGTGAGGAACTTTCTTTTTAAAACTGTAATGTGCAATTTTTAGTCCAACAGCATATTTAAACATAAGTACAAAGTAAAATTAAATCATAGCTTTTGCAAATTATCACAATTCATCCTACACACACACACACACACTCTCTCTCTCTCTCTCACTTTTTTCACCAACTGAAAAAAGTCCTGTGCTAATTTTATCTTGAAACTGCCTGCCAGGGAAACATTTGTGAGGTGATGACATTAATAATTAGTGGAAGAAAGCAAGT